AGCCTGCAGGGTCCACTGGCCATCTCCTGAGTAGCTTTCTTTACAAATGGCAATTGTTAATGTGTAGTTAGCAGGACTGAGAAAACCTAAAATCCTTGGCAGCGTGGGCTGAAGTCAGGGTCTCGTGCTCATCTGTGTCGCATGGTGCAAGGTCCTCGCTGTGGTCTGTGTGGCTGGGCCTGAAGCGTGTGCTGGGGAAAATGGAGGGGACTAAGCCTGCTGTGAAAAATTCTTCGAGCCTCTACTGTTGAGGTGCTTGTGGCTGGCAAATCGAGTGCCTTGGACTAAAGTCCAAGAGATCAGAACAGGAGCTTGAAAGTGCTTATGTTACGCAGTTGTAGGTATTTCTGTTTCAGAGGCTGCTCTCCTTATCAGTGTTCTAGCACTTGGAATACTCTATTTAACTTCTTGTGGCTGACAGATTAAATGCAAAGGGCATCTTGACCTTGAGAAAAGCAGGATTTCCAGGTCCCACCTGTGCCCACAGTACAGAGAAGAAGTTTGAAGCTGAAAGTGGTTCCTGAAGTGCAAGGGCCTGGTGCTCTATCAAGGGAAGCCCATTACAGTTTTCTGAGTAAGAACTAGCATGTATGCGTGTGCAGAGTGGCAGAGCTTGGAGGGGTACATTTTCCCCTTTGTTTCTCTTTTCCAGGGCTCCAGCTTTGGTTAGGAAAGGCTTTGTTATGTATTTCTAGAGATAACTGGGGCATTTTAATTTTGACAGCTGAAGCTTCTAATTCTTAAAAGCACAAAGTCACATTTCTTGATTAGATAGGGATCAAGACTTTGAAGCAGCTGCTTTTATCTGGGGATGATGTTAAAACCACAGTCAATGCTACTTGGATGTGACCAGGTTTTTGGTATAAAACACAAGGTGGTTTGTGCTGCCTCTGCTGGCCTGCAGCAGCAGGAAAATACAAAAGCAGGATAAAAGGGTGGTGTTGCCAAACCAGCTCACAGCACGCTCCTGACGGTGCCGTTACTGAAGATGAAATCAAATTCTTGCTTTTCTTTCTCCCCGCTCCTGCTTTGGGCTGCACAGCGAAGTACTCTGGGTACCTGGAATACCAGGATGAGCCCTTCTGCACAAACTGGCACGGCAGGCCTCCTAGGCTGATGAAACTTGGAAAAGGTAGGTTTGAGCTGAAAAGTTTGTCCTGGGGCTCGGGGTTGTAAAGCCCAGTGCGTTAAGACGTGTCAATTTAAACCCTGTTCAGTATCTTGAGGTTATTGAAAACCTTAAAACTCGTTAATGGAGTCCAAAAGCCTCTTCTTTCACAGGTGATGGTTTGATCTGGGTCTGGGCTGGTTGTGGCAGCGGTGCTGGGGGGTGCTTGCCCCATGCCCTGTGGCGGCTGCTTGTCGTCTTTTTAAATCACCTGAGGAAACGCTGCGGTTCACTGTGTGCTTGGCCCCACGGCATCCCCAAGGGGACAGCGAACCGCTGGAGTTGCCGAGATGAGCTCTCAAGGGCTCTTTCCTCCGGGCTTTAGGAGCAGCGGTCGTTTGGTGGCTGAGGGGGCTTCTGTGTTTGTCATTCTCGTGACCTTCCCCATCTCGTCGCGACAGACGTGACGCTGCGGGGCCTGGAGATCGGCCTGCTGACCATGAAGAAGGGCGAGGTGGCGAGATTCTTCTTCGAGCCCGAGTACGCCTACGGGCGGCAGGGCTGCCCGCCGCTCGTCCCGCCGAGCGCCACCGTCATATTCGAGGTGGAGCTGCTGGACTTCCTCGACTCGGGCGAAGCGGACGCGTTCTTTGACTTGACGGCTGTGAGTTGCCTTGACGAGGTTTGGGACCTAAATCGGGAGGCGAAACCTTGGTGGTCTCGCCTTCCAGTTGCTGTGGATGGTGTGTTACATCTGTTCAGCTCAGCGCTGGGCTGCCAGCTCTGCTGGGGCCCAAACACGTGCCCTCGAACGCTGCCTTGCTCTGTTCGCCCTCCCGTGTGCTGCCTTTGTTTGCTCCCGTGTGCTGAAGTCAAGTGGAACAACTTCTGGTTCTTTTTAGCTTTACGAGAAACGCCGTGGTTTCGCTAGAGGGCACCAGCTTCCAGGGATTTCTCTGAAGGAACAGTAAAAACCGCAGTTCAACCTGCGGGGTCCGAGTGACACCCCCA